TAATAATAATAATAATAATAAGATAAAGAGATAAATAGATAGGTAGATTTGCATAGCCCAAATTCCAGCTCAACGGCAAGCTCTATGCGCTTCACAATCTATGCTATTATCCCAGCAGACTCGATATCGTTCTGAAACAATCTCAACTTCCTAGGAAGCATACAGTATACAGTGCAAGCTGGCATTTATAGGCGCTAAATAAAACACTAACAAACGGACAAGACCTTTCGTTGTATATAGCTGGGTACCCATTCCCAACTGGGCGGATTGAGGAAAATTCATGTAAAGTGCCTTTCCCGAGGACACAGCGTCGGGCCTGCGGCTTGAACCCCCCCAACATCGCAACCACACGATTGATTACGAGTCCGGTAGCCTAGCCACTAGACTACCGACACCAGATAACTTTTTCGTGAGAAAAAAATGGACCCGCCTCATGGAAGGCTTATATAACTGTATTCTAAGGTCCTGCTGAAGTAAAAAAGGAACGTCCTACGCTATCGGACCGGAATCTTCTTTAAGTTTTTCGTTTTAGAAGAGGTTTTACGGCACTCGCAACTGCAAAAGGTCATATGAGCGCCAGAAGATTAGAGGTGTTGCAAGAGAGTAGCCTAAGAAAGATAAAAAAGAAGAAGGGGAGATAAGGACGATAGATGTTTGATAGGACAAAAGGAGCAAACCACATCAGAGCATCCGCCAACCACCCACGGTATGTTCTTTTGAGTCTCCCCTCTGAGGCACCTCTGACTACAGCAGAATATTTGTGCAGTTTTCTTATCTTAGTGCTGGGGCTTGTCGATAGAAATGGAGAACGTAGAAGGGTTATCGAGGACGAGGATAGCAATTTTGTTTTTTAAAGTGTTAGAGCACTTGCAACACAAGAAGGTCATATTAGTGCCGAAGGTTAGGTTTTACAAGAGAGTAACAAACAAATGGAGAGATAAGGATGATAGATGTTTGATTTTTTTAAAGGAGCAAAACACACCCGAGCACCCGCAAACCACCCACCTGAGATTTTGGGGAAACCCTTCCGGCACCGTAAACATCGTGATACAATTATTACAATATTATGACCACTTTAGCTTTATTGTACAGAGAGAGTGGATGCGGTTTGCCCGATTTTTCGGCGTATCTTTTTTATGATTTGATGACACGACGCTCCCAAGATGCCTGGTGCGAACGGAGTGGAAGCGTCTTTCGGTCATTAATAGGTCAGTAAATCTAGATCAGTTGACGAAGAAGGTGTTTTTCAATGGTTACTGTTATCATGGTTGCATGAACGGCGACGAGCCCGATGTCGATATTGGGTGCATAGAATAAATTAAAGACGAAATGTGTGGCGAGTACCATCCATGGACGAAATACTAGGAAGCCAACTTTTTTCCACTCAGCATTCTTATTAAATTTCTATAGCTGTAGTTTTCATCACCCTTTTCAAAAAGGCATTTTATTTTCAACCGCTTGAACCAATGCTTCCATGTTAGATTTTGCTCGATGTAATAAAAACGAGCTTGCAAAATACTTCAACACACACTATAGTGGGTAGAAAATTCGTGGCGCAACTTATTGTCAACTATTTCATCAACTATCTCTCTTTGTTTTTGCACATTGATTTATCAAATTGTCTTAACAAGTTAATGTAGATTTTTATTTCTGTAAATACCTGCTAGCTGTATACTAGAAAATGCCAAGTAAATGAATACTAATTCAAAATCCCATTGGGTGGTTTCTACAAATTTTTAAAGGTTTACAGAACCGACACTGCCGCTTTCAAAAGCAAGTCCGTTATTGTTTTTCTAATCGCAACAGTATGCTTATTGAGCGCATGTTTTAAGAACCAGCTGTCTCCGTGGAACTATCAATTTAACCTACCGCTTTTTTCCCAGGAGGGAAGAAAGAGGCAGCCGTGTATACCTCTCGGTCCGGGTTTGCCCCGACAGACAGGGTCCAAGCGATTCCTATACTTCCTAAACTAAATGATCTAATTACAATGTAGTGTTATTGGGGACGTAATGCACCCCCCCATCCCACCCCCACTCTGACCTGCACGGAAATGGTTATTTTAATGTTCTAACCCGTGTCCCTCTATTCTCACCCCCTCGTTTTACCGGAAATGACCCTAGAGTGGTCAGGGCTAAGGTTAGCGGGCATGACCCTGGGGGGTTAGGGCTGATGCTCCACAGCATCATGTTCGTCACTGTTCGTGTCCGAATAGTCACAGTCAGGGTTGTCAGTTAGGAGCCAAATCCCAGAAAGTTGGCTCTTTTGGATCACGTCAAGCAGAGAGTGATGAGAGGCCTGCCATCGTTAAGTGTGTAAACAACGAATGGTCCGGCCGACGGCCGGTCCCACATCCCGCTCAATATCATCGGTAGTGAGCCTTTTTTTTTTTACTGGTGAGGCGAAAAATGTTTTTACATTATTATTATTCGTTCCCAACCACGTGCGGTAAGACACCAAGGGCCTAGGTGATTTTATCGGCCTGCGAGAGGTCGGGGAGGAGTCCTCACCTCATGTCAACACCAGGGTGAGAGCTGTTCTCACCCGGGGGGGGGGGTGAGATTAGCGAGACATGGGTTATTCTCACCCGGGGTGAGAATAGAGGGGTGAGAATAGAGGTGGCCTTTTTGCACCCCACACAGGTTTCTGGCCAAGGACATCCAAAACTGTCGAAAATGCCGAATGTTTTAGTCAGGGTGGCTCGTGGGTCTAAAAAGTGGGAGTGCACAATTAGGTTAAAGCAGGTTGAAGATAGTCATGGGCATGTAAATTAGATGTTTTCTTCATCCTACCTGTTTTGAGAAAATCTATTTGAAGAAGAAGCTTTCCTTTCGTTTTTTGGCTGGAGCAAAAATGTCCATTATTATGTTGACGAAGTTGGGCATGCTGTCAATGATGTCCTTGTGGATCGACATAAACGTACGTCAGTGCGATTTCTGGTATTTTGCATACTTCTCCAAATGTTGTCTCTAATTTGTAGTCCTTCAGAGTTGAATAAAGGCCCTGGATTATACATGTACGACACTGAGGAGATTTAAATATTTCATTGCAATG